GACCAACTCTCATTTATGAGAGATCCAAACCGTGCATTTTGTTTTTTCTTCTTTTGGATTCAACAGTGATATTGTGAACTGCAAGTGCCTAAAACAGTTTCAGTAAGATTAATGACAGCCAAACTTGGGCCATGTGTGTTCTTGCACCAAATTTGCAGGAATTCTTAGCATGTAATTATCTGGGCCTGTTATAAAATGTTTAATGAAGATGTGGGTTCATTTTTCATGCTGCAAAGATTAAAGCATGGAGGAAGGACAGTGTGTAATTGCCTGGTGCTGTTGTGAGTGGAACCAGCTTGCTCTGATGTCCATGCACTGCTTTGTTCACTTGGACAACGTTTGTTAAGCTTCAGTGATTGTGTTTTCTAAAGAAATTTCTGTGCAGTCTGTAGAAAATAAGATAATTTAAACAGGAAGGAAAGCAAATACAAGAAATTACTCACCTGATTGTGTTGCAGTCTGTTGTGTCTACTCTATCTAATTTCTGACAGTAGCTTGTAATGGATGCTGAGGAAGAGATGAGGACACAGTGTATGTGGCTACCCCTGTGTGTGCCCAGCTTTCAGCTTCCTGAGTTTGCTGCCTCAGGGTCCAGAAGGTGCAGCTGAAATGCTGTAATGAGCCACAGGCAGCCCTGCACTCACAGGACAATGCTGCAGAGGGTGCCAGTGTAGTTATGCATTCCATGAGTATTTTTTCATGTATTTTGAATCTGCTATCTGATTAAATGTCACTGCATGCTTTCGAGTTCTGGTACTGTGAGAAATGGGGAGTAATTAATGGTGCAAATAAAGCACTAGGGAATAATGATTTTAGATATAGGTGTTATACAGCTTATCTTTTCAATGTTGTTTCCCTTTGCCACTGAGTTGAAGCTTTGAAAAGATGCACAAGCTCGTTTGATTACCCTGGTTCACCTTCTCAGTACCTTTTTTAGTTGTGTTTGGCCTTAAGATGGGAAGATCAAGGTTATGTTGGAAACTTAAAAATCCATGTTTATCATGAGTTTTCTGTAAAGCACCAGATTCTCTTATCCTCATCTGCTCTCTTGCAGAGCTGACGTGTTTGAAAAAGTTATTGTCACATGCCTTTAGCTGATAATAATTGAGTGTATATTTCCAATCACTTCTGTCAGACTTTCATTATTAGTGCTTAGATTTAGCTTAAGAGAATTCCTGTCATCAAACCTTGTACATAAGCTTTAATTGGCAAGTACTGTGTATCTTCTGAGCATTACTGCAGTGTTCTCTTTGCTTAGACCTTACACGTTTGTGCTTAATAGCAATTAGTTCAGGGGCTTTTCTTAAACATTTGGCCATAAGGTTTTCCATTCCCCTTACTGTGTGATGGCTTAAAATAAATGAATGTATGTGCTCTCAGCTGTGTTCCAGAGGGGGAATAAATACATGAAAATAAATTACTAGTTAATTCCTTGTCCGGCTGATTCGTAAGATAAAAATCCTGAATGTGATTTACTCAGTGAGTTGGTAGGGAAGTTCCCTGTTGGAGACCTGTGTTCTATGGTGAGGCTCCATCCTTGTGTGAAGAACTTTTTAAAGACCATCTTTATGTGCTGTGGAATGCAGAGTTTCCATTGTAGGAGCTTTTTGCTATATTTATGGTGGGTGGTTGTCTTTAGGAGTGGGAAATCCCTTTACCTCACAAGGCAGAATTTGTATTGCACTTTAACCAGCTTCAGGTTGCTTGTTATGTATGCCCTCCACCCTGTAACAGCCTTATATTTCTATTCCCAAGTCTTGCTGCTGAGAAGACTGTATTTTTTTTCTGTTGTCAGGTCCTGATGTGCTAGCTGAGAAATCCCAGGAAATGATCAGCTGCCAGATGTTGCAGTAACACAGCTTCATAGCTGAAACCTCTGCTGTTGTCATCAGGATAATCCACAACAAGTGTCAAACTTTGACTGCATGAAGCTGGCGCTGCAGGACTTGTGGATACCTTTGTTAACCTGTGTGTTGTTCCCAGGGCATCCAAAGCAACTGCAGCTGCCTCTGAAGTGCTCCTGTTTTAGCTGTTTGGGCACCAGGACCAGCAAAGTAAGTGAGTGTGTTCTGTTAATAACTGCTTTGAGTTGGCCAGTGTGTTAATGTGCAAATAGACTGTGGTATATCTATCTATCTATCTATCTATCTATCTAGAGAGAGAGAGAGAGAGAGAGGGAGGGAGGGAGAGGAAGGGACCTTAAGACCCATTCTGGTTCCAACCTGGCCTGGGCTGGCTGCCACCCAATAGATTGGACATGGAGCACTCTGTTTTTTCTGGTAATTACTTCTATTTGCTGCTGTATTACTCTCCTAACATGTTTAATTGAAATATTTTAATTGAAAAGATACACACTACTTCTGAAGGCTTTAACAGTGCATAGAATGACTTCGGATGGAGGGGACTTTCCAAGTCTCAGCCCTCTGCTAAACAAAACAGTCTGCTTACTTAAAGCTGGCCGTAACCTGTCTTTGTTATTCCAGTTATGATGCTGTAGCTGCTACAGATGGTGAAATTCCAAAGAGAACAGCTAAAGTATGCCAACAGGGCCCTAAGCCCCTCTTCCAGTTTTAACAATTCAGAGCTAAGGAAAAGGCAGACCAAAATGCAGTACAGTACCAGTTCTAAGAGACAGCATTTTCAGTGCTAAAATGTAATTAGCTCAGTAGGCGCAGATAAAAAAAATTTAATCTTTCTATAGAAACAGTGCACTGTTTTACAAATGTATTCATTTGGTTTTCAGTAATCCTTGTTCATGTAAGTACAGCACGTGTTACACAGCAGATCCCTCCCCACCCCTCCCTGGTCCTTTTGTCCATACCAAAAACTGAAACACAAAAGGCACCAAGCAAGAACTTACTTTAACAGAACTCCAACATGACAAGACGGATCAGAAGTGTTCACAATGTTAAATATCATCCTAACAACCTGAACTGTTATTTAAAATAATTTCTTAAATAAAAAGGTGTTTAGTTGAAATCAACACTGCACATTGAGTTCATTTACAAAAAACGCAGCCTTTTTTACACGGTTTATACAGGTTTGTGTGTACGTCCTCTTAGAAAAGTATCAAAACTGTAGAACTTCCAAATCTATTTACATGTCTGTTAGTTACAATGTTGTCACATACAGCCTTCTCTCAGTTTTTCTTCGTGCACACAGTGCATGAATTTGCAGACACAGCTTCACACCTTGGAACAGTAACTGGGTATCTCAGTCACTTCTGTACTGCCTTAAAATCTCAAATCTGAACAGAAGGGTGCTTGATTCTTTAGATGTTGTCTACAAAGGCTGTGAAGTGAGTAGTTTGAGTGAAAGTAGGGGAGTGCTACCCTAGGTCTTTAGACACCATGTTCCTTTCTTAGTCAAGAATTCAAGTCCAACTCACCTTAACTCATCTACTTCCTGGGAGTCTCACAGCATGAGCTAAGAAAAGCGGAGGGTCTTCTGAACAACCCTGCCAAACAACATTGCTACCCTCAGCTCACACCAGCAATCTGTACCACAATGAGAGAGAGGGGGAGGAGGACCTGGACAGTCCTCTCTGCTGCATGGAACAGGTGAAAAACACCAGCTGGAAGAAGGCCTTGCTTTTGGCCTTACTGCCTGTTTGTGCCCTTTGAGGTGAACAATCAGCACCTGCTGTGGTTTGATAGGAAACTTGGTGAACCTGAGTGCAGAGCCTTACATTAATGTTTTCTGTTTCAGTACACAGACCTTAAATAAGCTACTGGAACTGAAGGGGTGGGGGAAGTAGCTGTGTAGGAAAGGAGGCTAGTTTAGCAAGAGAAAGAGGCTGTTCTTGATTTCTCCTTCCTAACGCAGTATCTTGGAATCCCAGGCCATCACAAAGGTGATGTTCTTCTGCAGGAGGAGCCTATTTAAATATATATCTTTCTGCCATCAAAGGAGTAAATATAAGAATGCCTGGACTCCTTATTGCCTATTTCTGCAGCAGGATTATGTCAACTATTTTAATCTTGGTTCATTGTAACTCTTAGGAGACATGGTGCATATTTAGACTCTTCGCTGTCTTATGGGGTGATGGTAACAGTGCTATTGAAGTCTGCAGGAGAGAGAAACAAAGTTTGGGAATCATAGAGAATGAAAGGCAGTTACTAACAGAGCAGAATGCTTTCAACCTCTTTTTCCTGTGATGTTTTGTTTTTTTTCAGATACCACTGAATTCCAGGAATCAGCTATTGATAGAGCTGTGAGTTTTGAACCTTGTCTCGCACTCTTATGTCAGATCTTCCACAGTGCAGGCATTCGCTTTGATGACAGCTGCTGCACTTTAATGAATTCCACTTATGCTGAACTAAGACACTGCCCCACAGTACCTCCTAAATTGAGACTCTCAATGAAGAAAGGAGTGGGGGAAAGGATCCAGAAGGTAAGGGATTACCTTCTGTTATTGTGGGACTATTTCCTGATGAGCCTTCCTGAATGCTCACTTTGGGTATCTGAGAGAATGTGTCTCAACCTTTGTTTCTGCTAATTCTAAATGCATGTGAGAGGAGCAGGATGCCTAATGGAGGGCAAAAGATTTAGGTTTATTGTTAGAAACAAATGAAAAAAATCAGATTAGTACCAACCTGTAAAAAGCAACAGTACAGAATGAAAAATGGGGTCACTGTAGGAGCTCCTCCTGCTTGAAATGCTGTTAGCAACAGCTCTACAGCTCAAAGCAGTGCAGGTGAAGCTGGCTAAACTGGAAAAGGTGAAAGCAACCCTTGCAGGCCACTTTGGGAAACAGAAGCCCTGTCTGTTATGGCTGTCATTTATGGGCTGTCTTACAGTACAGCTGTTTCTTACTTTGCGTCTTTAGATTTGAAAGTGAACTTCAAACACCTGGTAAAAATTCAGTTATCCCTAATTTTCATAAACATAGCCCAGTAGTTTTAAAATATATGTATATATTTATATATATGTATATATTTATATGCCTATATATCTATCTAGACTAGATAGATATATACACAGATAATCTATGCACAGCAAGCCAAACATACAAAAAATAAATACTCTCACCCCTCTACTATATTTACAGATCAGATCTTATAATCCAGATTTTGTTAATAAATATTTCTAAACGGTCTGTACAGGACTTATTTTACTTATGTTGATGGATAGCCACAAAGCATATTCAGTATATTTACAAAATATCTATAAATATAGTCTTAAAATAAAGCAGTAGCTACTGAACCGTCAGCCTGCTGGTTATGTACATTGAGTTAGTAGCTCAGCAGTTGCTTATTGACTATCACAAATGGGTAGTGCAACAAGTTAAAATGTGTATAAAAGATTATACATACAAAACTCTCACATCCTTTGGATGTTTGCAGTTCATTATAACTCTGTGGTTACCCTTCTGCAACATAAATAATGATTCAAATAAAGAAGCAGGTTTTGTGATCCAAAGAAAACTTGTTCGGTGCGTTCTGGTTGAAGCAGCAACTCTGTCCTTACGGCAACCCATCGTCTTCTAAGCTCAGTGCTACACGCTGTGAAGGAAGAAAAGCAAACTTGAGGAGAAAATCTGTGACTTGTGAATTCTGATACACGAGCAACAGTATCAGAATTTGGTTTCAAGTTGTATTTCCTGTTAAAAATCTCTTTGCTGCCTTCATGTAATGGTGACAAATACTATTTCATGTACTGATTTTTCCCCTAAATGAGGTCCCTCCCTGAAGTTTTACTACAGAGGCATTGGACAGTTCACTTTACTTGTACATTACATGGATAGAATTCCTTGTAAGGACTGACGCACTTCTAGGTGACTTTCAGGTAATACAGGGCATTAGTTAAGTTCCTACCTTCCTACAGAAACTATCACCTTCACTCACTCAAGATCTTTCTCTCTTCTGAAAATACAAAGCAGTTATTACTGCCAGTGCTTCATCTTGTGAGGGCAGCTTCTTGGAAGGAAGCTCCAATGCAGACCAGCTGCCACGCACAACAGTTTCTCTTTTTTTCTGCATACAAAGGATTTACTGACAAAGTGAGTATTTCATTTTTGTAAAGATTAATGTTGCCAAGACAAATTTCCTTAACTTCTTACACTTCCCCTTGTGAGAAATCTGACTTTTGCACTGTTCTATTATATGGAAAATACAATTTCTCCCTGGTTTGCATGGAAACTGAAGTTATCCTTAAAATAGTTCAGGTACTTGGTAGGAGTCTGAGCAACGTGGAACCTTTCAGAAGATAAGTCATCAGTTGTCACATATTGAGCTCTTGAGATGGAAAGACAGCAAGTGTAAAGCAGACTGTCTGTACTGATTAGAACAGATGCTCTTCATTTAACAGCATCTTATTATACACACCACTCTATTTTAAGACAAGTTTAGTCTTCTGCCTGTTCAGTGATTACTGAATTATATAATGACAAAAAACAGAACTAATAACATCAAATCTCCAACAATGTGAGAGATAATTCTCTAAGCCAAATTCTCAGCAAAATGCATCTGTGTCAGCAGGTTCCTCAGATACTTACTGCTGGATAGACATGTCCAATTTGGGCAGTCCGACCAATATGGATTTCATCTTCATCTTCCTCTTCTGTTGTCTTCCTATATACTGGATTATCAAAATTCATGCTTTTAGTGTTCTTCCGTTTCCAGTTTCTCCAGATGAGGTATCCCCCCATGCACAGCAAGCCAATAACCACTGATGAAAGGAGGCAAAAACTGCTGTTAGCCAGTTTTGTGGAGAAAGGAGGAATCTGCCGAGATGTTCCTAGGCAAGTCTATATCCTTCACTACTGTCTCAAATCCAGACTCATTTCAGCAGTTCCTCTACTCTCTCCCACCCCCCAATCTTGAGAGTCACAAAAGTTTATTTACACTAATATTTCAGAATGATCTCCTTCAGTGTTTAAATCAAATCAGCTTACCAACAGGAATGACAATTCCAATAACAGCTGCTGTCACAGTTGAATCAAAGCCTTGGCCATTATTCGAATCTGTAATTACAGAAATATTTCACTCGTTCACAGGTTTTAAAGCCACAGCTAAAGAATGCTTTATGGCAGTAAGCTGTTGTTCTGCCCATCACAAAGTATTTGTTACCAAAGAGTTCATAAAAAGTTTTGGAATTAAATAATCAGGGAGCAGAATAGAAAGAGACACACGTACACAGAAGGCTGGGCTGGGTTGAGCTGAACTGTTTCTTAGGAATGCAGTACCTGCTCTGTGTGCACATGCATGTGTGCATCTACACGTACCATGTACAGCTATGGAGCTGGTCACCACATACATCAGTGGTTGCTGCAGCCTGCTACAGCATGCAAGAGTGACCTCAAAATGTTTGCTCTGAGCTCTAATAATAGGGGATCAGCACAGAAAATAGTTGTGTTAAAGTAGCTGGAATATAGAAGAAGGAAACTAACTGTAGTTTGTCTTCAGATTCATCAATTCATGAAACTTAAAAGTCAATTTATCCTTTTAAACAATTCCCCTTGGCAGATTGTTCCATTATATGACTATTCACCTAATAATAGGTCAGACTATTCAAACACAGATACTTAAAAGAACTTAGCATCTATGGCTTAAGTTAATTATTACATTTGAAAGGAAATTTGCACAAGCAGGACTTACAAGAGCGAATTTTATAAATCAGATTCTATTTTCCCCCATGCACTACAAAGCGAGTTCACTGATTGCTTCAAAGAGGCATCGTAGTCAAAGCAGGATGGCTTATTTTTGCTTTCCAAGTGCAATGAAAACAACCTGTTCCAGTTATTGAAATGTTTTTTTTAAGTGAAGTATTTTAATCTATTAGTCTGTTAAAGCAATCTGGATCTGTTTGAGGTCTTCAACGACAGTTTGGAAGAATAAATTCTTCTTTGGATTAGAATTGATTTTGGAAAAGCAGGTCAGCTTTTCAGTTTTACGTGAGACAGCACAAGCTGGAGGGATGATGTGATAGCACTGTAATGATAGACTGGGGTTTCATTCTTCCCTCATAATGTAGGGTAAACTTCAGGAGAGCCTGTTGATGCCCTCAGACTACTTTTGTGCCATGTAATGCACAACTTCTACTGTATTTCATGGATCAGGCCACGTTAACACAGAGCCCAGCCATGCAAAGCAGCAGCAGCTTGACTTGGACTGCAGTATTCCCAAATGTCCGACAGGGCTACAGCTGGACAGGAAGTTTGTCTCACTCATAGCTTGTGTTGGATCACAACACTATTAAGCAAAATACATAAGCCACCTGTAGACTCATTCATATTTAGGTCAGCAGCACTACAAACAACACTGAAGCCAAGGTGGACTAGTAGTGAGCCCAGGGCAAGTATACATATTGCAGGGCCTTATCTCTAGAGTCAGCTTTACACACATGGGATGAAAGCCTGACACGAGTGCCCTAAGATCCTGAGCAACTGGAACCACCTGATCAGAACAGAGGCATCTGCATACAGAATACCTGATTTCTCCTGCTATGCAAGAAGATGTGCCTTCATATGACCTTCTATAGCTCGGCTGTTAGGTACAGTCTGCTACTTGTTCGTGAGATTTCGTGGTAATGCATAAATTGAAAAAGAAAAGAAGAATCTCATACACTTACAGTGCTGTGACAAGTTGCTGTTTCCAGTGGTCATCTCAGAATCGATGAGGATGGATGTGGTTGAATGAGAACTCGGGGTGGCAGTCGTGGCTTCTGATACAGCTCTGGGGACGACGGCGGTGGTGGTGTTGGCTCTGCCAGTTACAGTCACAGTGGAGGCAGTGACAGGATGAGATGCTGTGGTTGTAGGAACCACTGTGGTAGCTGGAGTAGTTGGAAGATCTGAAAAGCAAAAGCAATGATGAAACAAAACAGCAAATCACAAACAGGGCGGATTGTGTTGTTTGCTGGTTAGAAACAGAAATCAAATTCCAGTTCTACTTGCCGAGCACAGAACTGATAGATCTCCAGCTGCAGAATTTTTTTTTCTGAAATCAAGCTTTAATTAATTAATAGTAGTGAAGTACTCTGTCTGGAAGATGGTTAATAAATTAAAGTACTCATTTTTTGAGAAGGTACTGAATTTGTACCAGGATCTATCTGCACGTTAGGGAAAATTATACTGTAACCACCAGTCTCTTCAGCAATGATTGTGGCCTTTCCCGATCCAGTATCTACAGAGCAGAAACATGGCAAATGTATATCACTTATTGACCATCCACATTTTCAGTCCTAGGGATCATCCCTTCTTTTCCTCATTTTTTCCTGATGATGCTTTCAAAAAATAATACAGGTTTTCAATAAGGAATAGTGCAATGCTGTGTTCAGAAGACAGAATATATGTGGAATTCCAAAGCTAATGTATGTGTTCCACCATTAAGTACAGTTTTATTGGGACAGCACAACAGTGATATGATTGTATTTACCTTTGTAGCATTTTTTCATGTCAGGACCCAGCCACATGTTGTCAGGACAGGCACACGTGTACTTGGGGGAATGGGGAGAGATGTGAGGTGCAGGAAGACACAAATACTCACAGCCTCCGTTTGGCTGGGGGCTGAGCTCACAGGAGTCTGGAGCTATTCAAAGACAGAAGAAAAGACAAGTTATTTTTTTTTTCCCTTCAGCAAAGAACCATTAAGCCTCTTAAGAAGACTCGTTTCAACTCTCTACCTTGATCAATTGCCCTCCTTAATCATCTTTACAGTTTGGAGTAAAACCTTACGTACTGCTATAAAAACTGAGGAGAGATTGGCAAATAAAAAATTAACAGCTTCACACAGCTCCAGCTGCTTTTGTCATAATGTACTCATTCACAAGCCAGTGGTTCAGATTCTGCACAATAAAGATGATATCTGAATGGCTTGCTGATTGCCACTAATAATTATTTAGAACATTCACAGACTGATGCTGCTGAGTGAGGAGAGCATCTGTACATGCTCACAGTAACAGCAGATGGACACAAGCCATGCTCCTCACTGAACTTTCTCAGGGTGAACTTCAGTTATCCTGGGTCAGAAGCTGGCTTCCTGGTGTCATGAAGCAGTTTTTTATGTTATTTGCTCAGCAGCCTGGTGCTGAGTGCCATTCTACATATGCTCACCTTGCTGTGACACTTCCAGGCTGCAGTATGGCCTAAATATGTAATGAATGGAAAGTGATCACAGTAATGAGAGTAATTCTGCTATCAAAGACACTAATTAAACAGCAATTAACAAGTGGCAGATTTTTCAGTAGGTGCTGCTGTTGAATTAATTATGCAGCAACTTCAAACATCAGGCATTGATTTCACATTATTACCTGTGCTTTTTCTCTCATCAGAAACCATCAGGAAGCAGTTCATTTAGTAGCTCAAATAAATCTGATTTAAGGACACAAGAGACACGTCTTACCTTTGGGCTGCTTTAATTCATGAAATACAACGATGTCGTGAGGATTATTGAGATTTTCTGCTAAAACAGAGATGTCCAAGCCACTCAGCCTGTTGGCACTGAAGATTGCTTCATTCTCCAGGTCAGTCCAGAACACTCTGTCCTGCAGGAAATACATAGGATTTCTGACCTGACCACCCTGCCCAGTTCCAACTCAAGCTGGACTAACTTCTAGTAGTCACAAAAATCAATGCGCTGTTTTCCTGTGCTGGGATAACTTTGGTTTTACGGTACTTCCATGTGCAGCTCTTTTCTTTTGCATGTCTAAAAAGCGCAGTAGTGCAATAGTGTTTAGGAGTGCTCAGTAATTTGGAGTCGCTGTGAGATTGAGGGAGCAGGAATTTGGTTATATCCAAATTCTGGACCTTTTGGGATGTTCCTGCACCTTTTTGGTTTTTTAAAAACAGGAGTGAGATGAGTACTACAAGAATCTACAATCATACAAGAATGCAATTGGGTTTTTAAGTTTAATTAGGGGCCAGAAGCCTTGTTTGTGAAGATAGGCATATGTTTTTGTAGGATCAGACTTGCAGTTTTTTGTACGGAGACATTGCTCTGATGTCTGGCAGGATTTGTGTGTCATAACAGCAGCAGCTGAAGCTGAAAGTGAACTATCTGCCCTCCTGAACTAGGTGAACAAATAAATACCTTTTGAATGCCAAATCCCCAACTCAGCAACGCACTGGTGCTCAGTGACTGCAGGGGGAGCCCTGTGAGCGCCTGGCACACGTACTGCCCACTGCAGCCTTCAGACTCCTGCCACAGGTGAGAATGTTTGAGGACACTTCTGCAGATACTGGAATGGCCAGAGGACAGCGCAAGCAATCGACCCCCAGACTTATGGGGCCGTCCTCCCCTGAGGATTCTGTTAGCGCTGGAAAGTGCAACACAAGCATGCACGTGAAACAAAAATGCTGGGCACAGCAGGGTGCTCGGCAGGGGGCTGGGCAGCTGCCGTGATCCATGCAGCTCCCCTCAAAGTCTGACTCAGCAGCAGCAGACTCAGGACATGCTGCAGTGTCACTGGGTGAACGGCTGCCCACTGCTAATCGCAGCAAGTGGTTTCTCCTGTCTCTTGCTAACAGTTTCAGCCTCTGCACGGGCGTTTGGCTCAGTCCACCTCAAGGGAAAGCCATGACTATTGTGCAGTCATGTGGGAGCCATAACCAAGCACTGCCTGCCCCTCAGGGATTCACTTGTACTACGTAAGGTAAAAGCGTGAGGCGATGCATCACTCCTGATTAAGGGCTTTAGAAAACTATTTTCCCTGCTGAACCCACACCAGGTTAATCAGTTACTATAGCAGCAAACGCCCTCACTCAGCTTTCTGCGCTATGCAAAAGGCAGAGCTTTCAATCAAGAAGAGCTTTGAGACCTCTTGCAGTCTCCAGTCTTTTCTCACCCGATATTGACTCTTACCTCAAACACTGCCAAGCCAAAAGGATGGCTCAGATCATCAACAGAAGAAATCAGAACTTTTCTGTTGCTGCCATTGAAATCAATGCAGGAGAGTGAATGCAATTTGGAGTCCACCCAATAGAGACGCTGATTCAGCAAATCTGAGAAGTAAAACACAATGAAGCAAAATTACACACAGCTTCTGCAATTCTTTTGCACTTCCCAGCATTTTTTTCCTGCTGGCAGCATGACTAATCTCTTTATTATTAGGCTTTTAAAAGTTTTTTTTAACACTAGTTGTGATTTTGACTCAGTGCCCAGATATGCTGGGATAAGACCTTCTAAGATTAAAAAAGAGAAACATTCTGGGGTGTGTGTGTGTGTGTGTGAATGCCGGACTGACAGCATTGTTTGGTACCAGAAGGAGCAGGGCAGCTGCACTTTGGGCTTCCCAGAGGTGCTCCTCCAGGGCCACTCAGTCCTACTTAGTTGTTGGCCTCTTGCTGGAAAATAACAACTGGGCTTCAAAACTGACATCTTTCTGAAGGAGCTGCGTGATTAACACATGTTCTGTGATGAAGAATGCTGGGTTCCAAAAGTCCTTCTGCTGCAGGCTGAGGGAATGGCAGCAGTGGAAACCTTCTTCCCCAGACCAGAAAGATTTTGGGGAGGATGCAGGTAAAAGCGGGAGGGAAGGGCCCAGTGTTATTTAGAATGCTGTGAACTGAATGTCTCTTCCTGGAGCAAATCTGCTTATTTTGGATGAGGTTCACTAAACTGAACGCCAGTGGATGAGTGCCAACAAAGAACAAATTCTGCAATAAAACAAGCCATTAATTAATTTCTTAATTACTAAAGGATAACATTATTTGTTCACAGCAGTAGCACTTCAACATATGCAACGGTTGTAACATTTTCTCCTACATCCTTTTATGGACAGAATTTTCAAACATAACAGCAAGTGGAGAACCTCACACCTGCGTGGTGCTAAACGTGGATGTCTTTAACTCTGGCTGCATTTGCCTACTTTACAAGACATTTACATTAGCCACGGTGGATCCTGTAGCTGTGACCCAGCTGCTTACCAAGCGTGATGCCATTTGGCCACTCAATGTTGTCAGACACCAGCACTTGCCGCCCCACACCATTGAGGCCTGCTTTCTCAATCTTCGCTTTGTCTCCCCAGTCAGACCAGTACATGAACCTAAAAGAGATGGATGCAAGGAGACAGTGAATTGGACCCCAGGGTAAGAAATTTGAACTACTGATTGGGGAGAGTGTTAAGTGCTCTCTGCTTGATGTTGCAAAGGCCCCTGGTCACTTCAGTTTACCTTGATACACATTTAGTGGAGCTGCCCTGCTCCTGTCCCACAGGTTACTCTGCCACAGAACTTACACCAGGATATCAAACCCCAAACTATCTCATGGTGTCTGTGGTAGATGTGTAGACTTCGCTTATCCCACACTCCTGTCATACTTATGTGATTTCCCAACATAACCTGAGTGCCTGAGCTCAGGCCTTCCTGGCTCACAACCCAGCATAATTTTCAAAACTTTCTCTTACAGCAGCCGCCATGCAGAGATTTACCTGAACCAGCTCTTTGAAGCACCTCAGCAGTCCTGTGTAAGCCCTTACAGAGGCCCTTATCTTTAAACATGGAAGTAAATCTGTTAGGATCCAATTTATGGCACGTGTGATGCACATGAGTTTTGTGGGAGGCAGAAAGACAACTGGAATTCCGTCTGAAAAGCACAAACATTTCCTTTTCACACTCACCTCCGTGTGGGATCAACAGCAATGGCTCTCGGCTCACTGAGGTCGCTGTTAAAAAGTGTCCTCCTCCTGCTCCCATCTGCAGTGGCCACTGAGATAGTCTTGTTTCCAGAATCCGTCCAGTAGATATTCTTATGAACCCAGTCAATCGCCAGCCCTTCCGGAGAGTTCAGCTGGCTGTCTATCAGAATCACCTGCTCCGCTGTGTCGCTGGCTTTGTCTATGTATGCACTGCAGAGACAGGATTTGTCACCGGGCTGGCATGGCACAGAGAAGGCTGTGCAGATGTGCACAGGGCTGGAGCTCAGGAAGGGCTGAGTGCTGGCAGCATCACACCAACCCCACGAGAACAAAGTGCACATGTGGCAAGGTGACTGACAAAGAAACCCTTACAGCTGTGTACTGCATCCTTCTGCTGCTTTCTCCTCTACCTTGTCCTACCTCTGTATTTGGATGGCAGGCATTTCCAGGACAGGGAACTGTTATTTTATGTTCCTACCAGCTTCCTGCTACAACTGCACAATTTAGCACCACATCTGACTTAGGGCACATTAACTTCAGTAGTACCATTTATTGGGATTTATGGACATTGGAAATATATCTTCAGTGCTCTGCTGAACAGAGTTGAATTTAGCATACAAATAAACATGCTTAAATGTGTTGCAGAATTAGGACCTGTGTAACTTTTTAATTCATCAAAGGGATTCCTGAAGCTATACTAATTTGGCAAGTGATTTCTTGTTAGATACAAAGAAAATCTTCACTTAATATCAGCCTCAGAATCTTTTAAAGACATTAATGAAAGGCAGGAGATGGTAGATGGAGGTTCCACAAATAACCCAATATTACACCTACAAGCACAGGTGATTCTGTTATTCTGCAATCTATAGCACTATCAGAGCAATTCTAAATGGAATCAGAAATTCTGAGTTTGCATTGGTGTTTCTGGCTCTTAGAAGAATTTGGTTAAAAGCAAACAAATAAAAAACCCCACAACTTTTTCTCCCTCTGCACAGTTGAGATTAATGTCTCCTATTCAGTGTCCATCCTGCCTTTGGCCATGGAACTGTGCCTTTGCAATAGTTCGATGCTGTTTTCTGCACTGTAGCCCAGGCTGGGATGGCTGTGCTGAGTCCACACGGATTAGCAGCGGGTGCTGCACCTCCAGAAGATGGAGGTGTTATGGGGAACGCCTTTGGTTTCTCTCTGACCCAACACTAAATGAATGGTGCCACTGGGGGTTCTGCAGAGCATGTGGCTGTGTTCCCAAGCTGCTGTTATTTTGGTCTGATGAACACCACACATTCTGACTGCAGTTCCAGCCCAGCTAATTCCTCCCTAGTGAAACAGCCATGTTCACACCTTCCAACACGGCACTGAGCCATGAATGTGACTCGATGCACTAGTGGAAAAAACAAGGAGCTCCTGGGGCTTCAGAATGAGACGGTGGGAATACAGAAGTGACATTCTGATTCTCCCAGGAACTAAATACCTAATAAAATATCTCCTAACACCCTGATGGGGACAACATCTCAGTGGCAGAAAGAGAAGTGAAGTGAGTGTCAAGAAAGAGGGGATCTATAGCCTGCTGCTACCCACAGGACTCCTGTGGTGGGTATTAGTGATATCAGCAGCATCTCCAACAGCAGCATTAATTGTTACGAAATGATGATTACACAGCCTGCTTTGCAGGAAAGATAGGATTCAAAATAAAGCTAATGTAAGCAGGACTGAGAAAGATAAAAATTCTGCTGTTCAGAAAAGGAACCAGGCTTGGTACAGTCATACGTAGGGCATGAGCACTGCTCGGGGCTCTCAGTCCCAGGACATTAACTGCCCGCTGCAGAAGGAGCAGCGTCTTAAATAGTTCTCTATGTGCCCACCCATACCTGCAGGATTAGACACAGTGCAAGTAGTTGCTGCTGAGCTACCTCCCCATTTCCAGGGCCACGCAGTGCTGTTCAGGATACCTGCCCAGCTACCTGAGTGCTGAATAATCAGGACAACCTGGGCAAATTTCCATGCCAGTGGCACGAAAGCTAGCACAGCCTGCAAAAACCTCAGCTTGGCTCCTATGCACTGAAACCAATCAACCTTTTTGTCTGATCATTAGCTAAAATCTAAAACAAATTGCTGCTGAAACTGCAATAGGGTGCAATAGCTATGCAAATCAGAATATACATGGGGAATGTTCAGTGCATAAATTAAATGCGTTTTTGACTAGACACCCTTACAAGCTCCAGTACATAATAATGGTAATGAATGTACAAAAACAGCTGGAAAAAAAAAAAAGGGAAACAAATTACAGGATATGAAATGTAGTCTGTGATCAAGTGCTGTGGATTTTCATCTAGTCTAGCAGAGCCGCCAGTGGTCAACCAGTATCCTGCTTTCACCACTTGCTTCTGTGCCTTCAGATGCCAAGTCCTTTTGGTTTCATGTACACGAAGCACACAGCACAGCAGCCTCACTTGGCAGTATGATCGTTAAGTAAATGAGTCCACGTGTAATTGCACAAATGCAGTGGGATCTATTGTCCATGAAAAGCCTTCCTGCATTTTCAAGCCAAGTAACTGCACAAGCCCTGATTTCTTTATCAGTTCCTGAAAAGCTTACAAAGTCTGGGCCACAACAGGTAATGCAGTAAGGGAAGAAAATCCCCAGGTTCACTGCATTGTTCTCTGCATATCCTCCCTACAAACTGAAGCACAGCTTTAGAAAGGTACCAAAACACACTCTCTCTCTTAGCCCTTACCTGTAGATTTTTCGGTAGAACAAATCACACCAATATATTCTGTTTGTTGCCACCTCCACATCCAGTGCCACGACATTTTTCAGCATGGGAATGATGCGAGAGTAGTCCCTTTTCACCAGGTCTATCTTACGGACCTCGTGGCGGTTGGTGAAGATGAGGTAGGGACTCTTTCCTGACACAGAAAGAAGTGCATTTGTTGTTATAGCAGCTGGCCTAAAGGCTGGATACATCATTTCCTCAAACAACAACAAAGCAAAGAGCAATAAGTCACCGATCTGCTTTGTGCCAGCAGCAGGTCTAAGTGGCTTCTGGCCCAACGTAGACAGTTAACACATACAGACACAGGGCACAGCACCCTGTCACCCAGCCTCTGGGGAACATCCCCACATTCCATTATACATTTTAGATACAAAATCCAGGGGCTCAGTTTCAGTGACTCATGGTCAGGACAAGGAAGAGAGAAAGCCTTCCAGGCTGGCTGGAGGGAAGGCAGGCAGCCAGACCAAGGCATGGCAGAGCCACACTGAATCCAGCAAAGCCAGGATCTCATTGCTAGGAGGACATTTAATTCTATTTTAGGCTGTCACATACGTGCTGACCTTGCATCACCCAACCAAGCACTTGGGCTTATATAATACATCTCACATCTCTTCTTTGTGGGCTAGAGTCTGCAGCCTGAGTGCTGGTCAAACTGTAACAGCAGTCATGCTCTCAGGCCAGCCCAGGCCACAGCCTTTCAGAAAGGCTGCAATCCCTGACATTAACGTTCATTTCTGCACTAAGCCCAAGCAAGCTGCTGGTGCTCACGTTGGTATTTGTGTATGAGGCTGGGTAGGTGGAGAGGTGATAACCTACCACGTTTTAATTGGGTTGTTTTCTTTTACCATGACTACCAGTAAATATTTTTTTCTGTGCTGTTTTTAGTGAAACCTGTCAAGAGGCTTTCTTTTCGAGTTTCAGCTTCAAACAGCCAACTAGTGATCGTAATCTTGCTCTGCACATGGTTAAAATATTCTGATCTGCACTCTCAGTAGTTCTTGCCTAGAGACACATCTGCTATCACTGCAGCAGTTCCGTGCTGCTTGAAATTAATGCCTGTGCTTGCTAGTTAACTTTTGCCTCTGTTCCCCTAGGCTCAGCCCTGCAAGTGTGTTTTCTTATCAGAGTTGTGATGTTGAGCAGTCAGAGTTTAAGAGCCTGTCGGGCTTCCTTACCTACAGCCTTGCAGTTTTTGGACAGGGTGTCCATCTCGTATCCCTCGTAGCACTCACATTTGTAGTCCCCCTTGTAATTAATGCAGATCTGGCTACAAGCGTCTGGATTCTCACATTCATCTATGTCTGAAAGGAGTGTTTGAAACCCATCAATAACTTGAAATCAAACCATCTGTGATGGAGCAGTGCTGAAGAGCATATAAGCATGTCTCTGTATGGTGACACACAGGGGACTGCTGTTTGCATGTAAATTACCTCCACACGTCTTTTTATCCAGAAGCTTGTATCCGGGCGGGCATTCACATTCGTAGCCTATCTTCAAGTCTTTGCATATGTGTGAGCAACCACCGTTGTTCACAGAGCATTCGTTAATACCTGCAAGAGGCAGACAGGTTATCTATGGGAAAGGAGGGGTTCCAGTCGTAAGTTTGAATAAAATTAAGAAAGGTCAAACGCACATTTTCCCATAGCTGCCAGCTTCTGGTAGCCAGGTGTTGGCCACATTGAGCATATGAGTGACTTCAGAGAAAGGAAGCCATCACTGTATCTCTTCCTTGCTCTTTATTATTCCAAACCAACACTGTTATGATCAGTTGGACTGAAAGCTAATGGCCAAATGAAGAGGGAGCCCTGGGGACACAGCATCTGTGCATCTCTGCATCTCATCCATCAGAAACCCACTGCTTTGAGCATATTCTGCCAGCTGTGAGGCACTTCCAAGGGACCTAAGGGTGCTCTCCAGGAGATGACTCCTTCCCCATGCACTGGTTAATGTTGACTTTTCTGAACAGTCTTTTTGAGCTTTGATAATTCATGCTAGGGGAGTCTCATCTCCCAGAGGCCAGCTGTTTTGAACTACTGTACTGTTTCCCCATCCAGCACCAAGGAAGGATCTGAGTGACAATTCCAGCAACGCCTGAATTGCAGCAGCAGCCCAAGTGTGCAATCATGGAAAACCAGCCCCCATCCCCTCCTGGGCCCCTGCCTAATCCAAGGCCTTCAAGAGCTGAAATGAAAAATAGACTGTGTCTTTTTAACTAGAATTAAATGAGAGATTCAAGAAAGCTGATTTTCTGTCAGAAATAACATTTCTTCTTGTTGTAATTAACCTTTAGAAGGTGAAGAGGAAGTTTTCTCCTTAAGGCTGCTGTACAGAAGCTGTGGGATTTCAGGGATAGCAGGTTCACTGGAACAAGGAAAGCTGATTTACTTCATTTCTTAATGCAATTTAAAGGCAAAATTTTCATTTATCTTTTACTTCTTGCTTCCTTGTATGACACAGGTGAGCAGTGCAGCACAGCCATTAAACCACTGCTCTTGAAAGAAAACGAAAACAACCACAGGCCAATTGAAGTCAGTAGCTGAGAAGATATCATGTCAGAGAACCCCATCCCAGCTCTGGGATGGCTTCACCTTCCTATCAGAGACACATACGTACACAGGTATCAATAAGTTATTAACAGAGCAAGTTCACTGGGTTCCAAGAAAGGGTCCACAAAGTCACAGTGTGTGTTGGCACTGTTCAGTGTTGTTTATTAATGAATATCACCTATTCCTGCACTTGCACAGGCCTCTAGGAAACTGCATCATATCCATGCACAACTGCTCTTTGCAAAACACAACAAAGACTGTTTCAACTGACAAGCAAGCTCTCATGCAAATGTTTCCTCTGGTTTCAGAGGCTTTGTGGAATAATTTTGGAGATTGTAAATCAGGTGTTGGCTCACCTGCTGCACTTCTCAACAGGAGCTGAGGAGGAAAGGCAGAGATAGCAGCCTGCTCTCTTTCTGCTGGACAGCTGCTGCCCATTACCCAAACTTCAGCATCATATTCACTGCCTGCTTTAAGTGAGATAAGCGATGCTCTGCCTCTTCAGTGCTTTTCTGGGGAACCATGGAGGGCACTGCAAAGGCGAGCACGCAGCTGTACAGACACACCATGCTGAGGAGAACACCCCGCATCTCCTGGGCTGCTGTGCAGATTACCTGTGGCTGCATGTCAAAATTCACAACAATCTACATCATTCTGCAGTCTTAAAGAAGCATGTCTCCTTTGGAGTCTGTTCTCTGCACAGCTTCCTAACTCAAATGGCACTCAGCTGCCAGCCTAGGACCACAACGAGGCAGTCACAGCACCATGTTAAGGCTGAGCCCTGTCTCCTCAGCCAACTGGGCTGCTGGCTTTGAGACCTTCACAGGCAGACAAGTTGCAACACCCACTCAGAAAGACAGGGAGATGTGGATTAGTGCAGAAGAAAGCAAGGATGTTCTGAAAGCACAGGGTAAAAGCATCCTTTCTGGGAACTCACACACTTCTTGTCCAGCACAGAGAAGCCAACAACTCTCCCTGAACAGGAGATATTTAAGTTGCAGGCACAGAGCTCCATGCTACTGGTGCTCCATGAAGTCATGGAAAGGGACAGCACAGCAGCCTGTCTGAGGCACTTCTGCCCCCGGGGAAGAACCAATGGTGTGGCAGTGGTGCTCTAGGTTGGGGTTGGCACCTGCAATGCCTGGTAAGAAAAGGACAGAGAGGCTCAGCTCCCCAACCTGCAGCTTTCTGTTCTGCTGACTCCCACAGCCCAGGAGCAGACCAGGCTCTCATGGCCTGGCTGTTCTCAGCAGCCCACAGCCAGCAGGATGCTGCAGACAGCAGCTTGTTGTCATTTCTACAGGACGCAGCAACAAACGCAGTGGCTGAAATCATTGCTTAGTGGATGCTGCCACTCACTGCGTGCTTTCACCTTCAAAGATGTTACCAATGCTAAACCTTTACAATGTTTTTGCTCATCTTTCAGTAATTCACAGGTAATTTTTGGCAGCGAGGCCAAATAAACTGGTCGATGCTGTGGAAGACCCCAGTGTCTGAGAAGAGGGGGAATTCCTGGTTGCTAGTCCTGTGCTCAGCTCAAACATCCCTCCAAGATCAAAAGTTGGACTGAGAAGGGCACAGTTCACACTGGCAGATGATCAGACTGGGCTACTAATTATATTCATGTGAAGGGTGAAGAGAGAATAAAGGCAAGGAAAGAGAAGCAGAGTGAGAAATAGCATTAGCAGCTACATGTGGTTACACTCAAAGCTGTGAGCACCAGATGGAGGAGAGGGGAAGCAGTTACAACAAGAGCAACACGTAGAAGGCAAGTACTGTACCACATTCTTTCAGAGGCTCGTCAGACCAGTCCCTGCAGTCTCTATGTGAATCGCACACTTTGCCTCCGTCAATGCACTCTCCACTCTTACACTGAAACTTGCTGGGACTTTCACATGCTGACTCTGTCATGTCGGGCAAGAGAGGAAAGCAACTAAGTTAGGTAAGGCTCAAGACAACAAAAAGCCTGACACAGAGCTTCAAGAAGGTGTCATTAGCAGAAATGGGATGAGATTAAGCAAAAGACTGAGTATGATGCGAGGAACTTTTCAAGGCGTGCAGTCTGCCTGGTCAGCACAACCATCTCTCCCAAGCAACCCCACTGCCAGAACGGCTTACAGCTCTCTGCAGGAAGCAGCCTGTTGTGGCACAGAGGAGCAGTGCAGGCCTCCTCCTTCTGCAGCTCTCCTGCAGTTTTATAAAACCGAGCACAAGGAACACAGTGCTGTTTTGTGCATACCTTGGACACAGCCTGCCTCGTCACTGTTGTCAGGACAGTCGTGCACTCTGTCACACTGCTTTGCTCCATGGATGCAGGTCCCATCCCCGCACTGAAATTCATCCGGTCTGCAGGTCACCAGAGCTTTAAAAAAACACACGTAAGCGTCACCCACACAGCACCTGAACTTTCTGTGTGATACTTTTCGTCTGACACTGCAGGAGCTTCGTGCCCTCCTTCAGAAGGATCAGCTGCTTCCACCAAAGCAACAGGCAGCAGCTACCTCAGGCACCGCCCTGTGCTCCCCAATATTCCTGACCACCCTCTACCGTCCTTGTATTTTAAGATACATTTTGAAGCATGTTCAGCCTAAGGTCAAAGGCAAGATACATGTATGCTGCATCTGCTACAGCCAGTGGGGTCACACCAGGGATGAAGTGAGAGACAGACATGGTCATTTGAGTCAGTGAATGCCTGTGAGCTAACCACAGAGCCTGGAAGGCACAAGAGCTCCACTGCCCCATGGCTTGGTGCTTCTTGGGTTTACAGGCCAGAAACATCTCCATGGTGTCAGGTCAGATTTCGAGCCTGATGCTCATTTGCCCTGTTGCTGTTATTACAGACTGAACACAGATCTGATGAATAGCAAAGTTGGGGAAAAAATAGATCAGACTGCTGCTCTGATCATGCCAAAAGCAGCCACGTTTCCCTCCTCAAGTTTACACTGATACCTTCCCAGATGGGATCTGACTTGCACTGACAGAGCCAACAGGCACTGGCTAGCCAGCAAAGGGCTGCAGCCTGCAGCTCACTGGTAAAAATAGGCTCCTCGTTCCTGAGGCACATTATGTGGCTTATTTCTAAGGGAACTATCTTCCAGATGTTTTGTTAAAATCCTGTTAAGGCAGCACACCCTGGAGAGCTCTTGATTCTAACCTTTCCATCTTGCTGATTGCAGCCTGGTACCATATGACAGAAAATCACTGCCTCTGAATAGCTGGAGGAGGTCAGCACTGATGTTACTACATGGGAGGCGAGAGCCACGTGGCAGATTTTCCTTGACAATTTGACAAACTGGTTCTAATAAAGAAATTACTACTTTCAGATAACCCAAGAAGAGCCACAGATACAAACTGGGTTAGTGTCAATATCATGAAGTATTAGTATGCCTGAAGGCTCAGCGTTATTGATGAAAGCATCCCATGGGATGCAGGATCCAGATTCACAACTGCTGGACTAAGCCCTAGGTGCCTGCAGCCATTGGAGGGTGTGAAAGACAGGAAGAGCTGCAACTGCAGTGCTGCTGTGGGAAGGGGGAAATCCTGCCTTAGAAAGGCACAGTATTCACAGGAGAAAGGTTAGGAAATAGCACTGCTCCGTGGAAGGGAAAGCCATGTGGACTACAGTTGGAAAGAGCTGCATAGCAAGAATAAAATTGCATGCAGTAAGAGCAGTTGTGGGACCAGCTGTGTCACAGTGTTTCTGCTAACAAACCCAGATACAGAAATGTAAAACCTCAGCACGATATCCAGCAGCTCCAAGCCAAGCACCTGGGAACTGCTTCTCTAATGAAGGAGAAGGGGAGGTGAAACTGGTCTGGGAGAACCACAGACCTCAGCTCTGGAGGTGGCAGTCTGGTCCTGCAATGAGGCTGAGGCACTTCTGTCTGAACCATTCATTTCCCTGGCAGAAACCCTGATGGTGGAGAGACGACTTTCCCTGTAATGCAATCCCAGCTTCTTCCAAGCTAAACCTCGGCCGCTGCAATCCTTTCCCTAACGCCTCGCCTCACATTTCCTAGCTACTGTTATTTCTGATCTTCACTTCCCAACATAGAAAAGTTCACCCTTTCTGTAGCAACTTCTGTTCTGTGGAGACAGGATGGGATGGTCCTCTGTTTCTGACAACAGGTATTAATTTTCTGCAAACTTGCTACATGCAACTAAAGCTACCAGAGCCTGGTTTGTCCTAGGGCAGAAGCAAGTTTCCAGTTTACGAAGTAAATCTGCAAGGCAATGGCTGCAGATTGGAAAGACTCAGGTGGTAAAGGGACTGCAAAACACAGATGTGGGACTGTACAGCATCTGCACAAAGCTCTTTCTTCATGAAAAGTCATAGGACTGGAGACCAGGCTTGGTTTCCTGGCTTGTTTTTCATTCCAGCAGAGCTGTGGAAGTTCAGACCTTTGAGAAATGGCCCTTGAGCCTCTTAACGAACATCCAAAAAGAGCAGACACAGCAACAGCTCTTCCTCATCACAAAGGTATCAAAATGAATATACAGCAATTCTATACTTCGGTGAATTTCTCAACAGGAGAAGGGAGACTGCGATGATTATACTCAGCTTGGAGAGCACACACACATGAAGCTGGGAGACAAACCCATCTCAGCACCATGGGCACGGCTGACAGCAGGCCACCACTGCCCAAAGCAGAGCAGTGTCCCAAGCACAGACATGAGCTGCACAGTTCATTTTCCACAAGTTGTTCCGAAAACCTCTGTGCTATTTTCTATTTTAGGGGGTTTAAATCAGTGACATTTCAGTTTTATAGTCACCTTTGCAGCTCCACAAATTAAATATGGAACAGTTTACCAAAGCTCTTTTAAATTAACTGGTACACTCAAGCAGACACACTTGATTTGCACATATGGGGCACAAAGCTGTACTGCTCAAATTCAGGAGTTATATTCCAGATTCTAAGTTTGAGCCTCTATTTCTTCTGTCTTTTGCTTCTTTACCCCCCAGAAAGTCAACTGAAGCTCAAGAAAACTCCAGCATTTGCAAAACACATTAGTTCCATTTTACTGACAGGGAAACATAGTGAGGAAAGTGCGAGGTCAGAGATCTGTTTTCTAGCTGTCAGGTACTGGCATTATTTATCTTCCCTCCTGGGTTGCAGAGGATGTTTTAAAATCCAACCATTTGGGGAGTAATAAATCTAACCTAATGTCCATTTTACATACATGTGCATATATACACACATATATTTACATATACATACTAGGGAAAAAGCAACCATCCAATGTGCTCACACAGCTTCCCTGAAATGACTTCTTCCTTCCTATTTATTTGCTGGCTTCGCTGCCAAAACCTGTTCACCAGCTGTCACCCTTCATTCCTGCTCTACTCGTTTATCACCTCAAAATAATTATAACAAATATCCGGTGATGGCCTCATGACTTTTTTTTTTAAAGCATTAACTCCCATCCTTGTGTTTTATACGATGCAAAAACCCTAAGAGAGAAGGCACAGTGCTGGCATCCTCAGTTCTAATCAAGTCAATGCCAGCAGTTTGTGCCATTGCTGTTGTGAAGGGAATGGAGTTGTCACACAGCTGTAACTCCCTGCATGCCATGCAATGCTGATCTCAAAAAAGAGGTTCTGGAGGTGAGAAAAAAATATTGTAATAAAGGACAATTCCTAAACTCTTCAGTCCAACAAGGAACAGAGATGCACTCAAATACCATTTTCTTACCCCAGGCGTGTGCACCCAAGCTACAGCTTTGGTTAGGATGGGGAAGCAACATCACTTTTGCCTCTGACCCAGTGGACTCATTTGCATTCAGTGCCATGGGTTCTCTGCTGGCTGCTGACCCAGAGATCCCCTGCCTGCAGTGTCAGCAGTGACAGGGCTGTGCAGCTCAGTGGCACAAAATCCCAAACTTACACAGGTGCAAAGCAGACAAGCCTGTACAAAGGAGTATGTCAGGAACTAAAACGTGGGGCTCTGGAGTCCCACCATTTCTTGGCTTCCTGGATTGAGAGCAGCAGAAGCAGCACATGTGTGTTCCTCCTGGGTAGATAAGCTGTATAATGTGTGTGTACTGAGAGTCAGCAGTGCCCCCAGGCACTGAATCCCCTAGTCAGGGATATAATGGTCTCAAGATTTCTTCCCTCCTCAGCCACGTTTCCTCTTTCCTCCACTGGTTGTCAGCACTGTGCTGTGCTGCAGCCCTGTCCGGCTGTGTCCTCTGCCCCACAAAGGCTGCCCTGGGGAAAGAGGAGGCTTTACTTGCTGAAGCTGCTCTGTAACAGGGCTGCCGTCACCGCTCTGCTGCTCCTCCTGGGTCCCCGGTCTCAGCAGAACCAGCTCAGCTGGGCACCTGCTGAAGTTTGTCGGGCCTTACTGCCTCCTCCTCTTGCTAAAGGAATCATCAAATTTGCATGTCTGCCCCAAACAGCATCTGATTGTTCCTCTCCTTGAAGGGCTCTCCCATGCAAGCTGCTCTCAGGTCACCAGCTGAGACTCAGTGCTGTGCTGGTTGTGGAAAGACGGTGCTGGAGAAGTTGGACATTTTCACACATACCTTTGTAAAAATGTCTGCTTTCTGCAGCTGGTTGCTGCCTTCTTCCCAGAGGTGTTCCAGTGTCAGAGCTGCTAAATATATGTACTGTATAAATATTTTATTTTATTCCTATCTTGTGATTATGAATATTTTAGCAAAACATTTTGCTCTTGTTTTCTTGCCATCTCCCTCCTCAGATAAGTGACCAGCTTGAACAGGTTAGTGGCTAAAGTTGGATGAAGCCTTCAAAATACTGTGCACACCAACAACACCATGTTAAATGCATCAAGCCAGCTGAAAAGAAATCCATTATGTATTAGCTCTCGTCTGTAACTGAGCCAAGCTCAAAGTGCATTTCAAACTGGATTATTCAAAGGTGCTGCCTTGCTTGGTATACTCAAACTTCAGAGGTAGAAAATTGTTTTTTTTTTCTGCTGATCACATATTCCCTTTAGCACTGAGGCTTCTATCCTGCAGGCTGTGACCCCACCGTGCAGCCTGAGGGCTTTAAAAATGTTTCCCATTTTCTCCATTTCTAGTGAAACAGACCTTCTCTGAGGCACGGTCCCATTCAACAGCTCTTGCAGCCCCTCTGTGAATCCTGACAGAACAACAAAATAAGGAGTCTGGAATACACCTAATGCTGCTGGGCTGAGCACCCGGCCATGCCTTGGGGCACAAATGCTCCTTGGCAGACAGGTGCTGCACAGACAACTTGCAACAAAACCCTGCCTGAAAACACAACCCAGAGGGGCTGCCCTCCCCACCAAAGGAGAATCCCCAGCCCTGCCCACACTCACGGCAGTCCTGCTCATCAGACTTGTCCTTGCAGTCTTCGTCCCCATCACACTTCCAGTTAAGGAGGATGCATTCGCCATTGCCACACTGGAACTCGTGAGCAGCACAGGTGTTGAAGGCCTTGGCATCGTAGCCACACCTCTCTACAGACTCATCTGAATGGTCCTCACAGTCTGCCTGGTTGTCACAGACCCACAGCTCTGGGATGCACACGCTGTTGTTGCACTGGAACTCATTGGGGCTGCAGGTCAGAGGGGAGCATTTCCTTTCATCGCTGCCATCACCACAGTTGTTGTAACCATCACACACGAAGTTGATGGAGATGCACGTCTTGTTACTGCACTGGAACTCATCAGGAGAACAAGCTTGGGAAAAAAAACCAAACAGGTGAGCTGTGAGGTCCCCTATCTACCCCCTGCCACTACACTGGCTTTAGCACATCACATGTATCTGAGTAGGGGGAGGGAGAGGGCATAAATGTATTACCTTGGCTGTCCTAACCCAACACTGCTTTCCCAGTGGTAAACTACATAGCAAGGAACAGGTGAAGACGCATGGGGCTTCTCTGCAGCTGTGATACGGAGCACATCCTGCCCCCAGGGTGTGCTGACCCAAGCTGGGAGCCCAGCTCAGCTCTCCCATCACCCCTCTGGGCCACGGGCAGCCCTGCAGGAGAATGGGCAGCTGGTAAAATGGGGCACAAGTGCAGCACTGCCCTGTCCTTTTGTATAAGGAGACACAGGGAGGGCTGGAGGAGCAGTGGTGGGCGCTGGGGGCTCACACAGAGCTGAGCTTTGCTCCATGCTGACATTAGCAGCTTCCTGGCTTTCACAGGCACAGAATCAGGTTTGAGGATTTCACAGTGTGCCTGGTTTTGGACATATTAAGTGGGATGTGTAGGGTAAATATTTAGTGAGGCGAGCATCAATTTAGCTGCAATCTGCCAGCAAGGCCCTTTACAGCACACTGAAAGCCTTCCCTGGAAATCACAACTCAACATTAACACACAAATGAGACATTTGTCAGATCTGAAGCTGAGTGGTGTACTCCTGCTTGCAAGCCTGATGGACAGCTGCACCAGAGGAGCCTGCTAAAATTAAAATTTCAGGTACTCCAACAACGTGCACTTGGCAGCCACTTTGTCTCATCAAGTTATGGGGGAACCAAGACTCTGAAATAAATTTGCTCCAAGTGCTTTTAATCAAAGCTAATTTCGTCAGTTATTTAAAAAAAAATTGAATATATGTCTGCCTCTACCCTTCCGGGCACGTATAGAAAAGTTATGCATTTTATAAATTACAATAAATATATAAAAATAAATTACAATAAATTAAATACTTCCTCTAATTGCACTTAGGAGCCTTTTTGCCTTCAGTAACTCCAAGCCCGATCTCCATCCAACAGGGATAAACGTTAAAGAGAATCTCAGCTGTGCTCTGCTGAGTGCCCAGCTTTCCATCAGTAACAACATACATTGCAGTGGTGTGTGGTCAGCAAAGGAGCATCCAAGTTCTGCCTGGTGCAGGCAGGACATCCTAGAGAGGTAGGAGTGTGGGTATTTTTGGGCACAGAGAGGGGCTAACCTGTCTCCTTCTCCAGGCAGTGAGGAACTGAGATCAGACATCTAACATTAGGAGATGAATCCCTCTCACAAGGACCCAAAACACAATCAGCCCGGTGAAGAAGCATCTAAAAAACCCTTCCACGTGTCAGAAGTGAGACTAAAATGCTGCAGCCTACCCGTAATTTCAGCTGATTTTCTTCACTCAGCATACTTTTCTATCCTTATCCCATAACCAGAAATAAAATGAGCTGCTAATCATAGAATCACTAAGGTTGGAAAAGACCTAAAAGATCATCCAGTCCAACTGTTCACCTATTCCCAATAGCTCCTACTAAACCATGTTCCTCAACACAACATCCAGTCTTTCCTTGAACACCCCCAGGCTCGGTGACTCCACCACCTCCCTGGGCAGTCCATTCCAGTGCCTGACCACCCTTTCTGAAAAGTAATACTTCCTCATGTCCAGCCTGAATCTCCCCTGCCGTAGCTTGAAGCCATTCCCCCTGGTCCTATCACTAATGACACGAGAGAAGAGGCCGACCCCCAGCTCACTACAGCCTCCCTTCAGGAAGTTATAGAGAGCAGTGAGGTCTCCCCTGAGCCTCCTCTTCTCCAGGCTGAACATTCCCAGCTCCTTCAGCCTCTCCTCATATGGCCTGTGTTCCAGACCCCTCACCAGCTTTGTTGCCCTCCTTTGAACACGTTCCAGGGCCTCAATATCTTTCTTGTAGTGAGGGGCCCAAAACTGGACACAGTACTCGAGGTGTGGCCTCACGAGTGCTGAATATAGGGGAACAATCACCTCTCTGCTCCTGCTTGCAACGCTGTTTCTGATGCAAGCCAGGATGCCATTGGCCTTCTTGGCCACCTGGGCACACTGTCGGCTCATGTTCAGTAATCCTAGTAATCCTACTGATCAGCACGTGGCTGTATGATCTCTTCAAGTGATGAATAAGATGGAGCTACCAAATGGAAAACTGAGGTAAGAGTTAAGATTTGAACAACCTATTTGAAGAAGGAGGTGATGGATGGGAATATTTCTAAGTCTATGCACAGTTACTGTAACAGATCAAGGCTGGGAAGTAGAAACTGCTTTTCTGGCATTATTTTGATCAATCTCAGAAACACCGTAAGCAAAATTTTCCACAGTCCTTTGATCCCCAATTTTTGGGCAAGGTTATAAGGATTTGCACGCTCCAAATATGCATTTATTTCCCTTCTCACCATCCCTTTTCCTATGTTGCTTGCCTGCTCCCACCTCCAGCATTCCTTCTGCCTGCATGCATTTCCCTCTGGAAAGAGATGGATAAACCTCTGTGTGGGATTCACACAACGGAAGTCTGCACAAAAGCTCCTCCTCTGCACCTACAAATCCCACTACTGATGTAAAACTACTGACAATGACAGCCAGAAAAAAAATAGAAGCAATTCACCTTTTGTAACCTCTCATGAGGAGACTTTTCAGTGAAGTTGGTGAATCTCTAGCTAGAATTAACTGCATTGCCATGCTTATTTTATTTCTTCTAAAAAATTAAATTTGGTGAGCTGACAGCACTAGAGACATTTCTGTCTCCAAGGATGAAGCACAGCCCATTGCTGCTGCTGCCTTCCCCCTTCCCAACCTTGTAGGGCTCCACTTCCATGTCTCACTGTGGGGCAGCTCTGTGTCTTCCCAAAGCACTACAGAAGGCTGTCTCAGGCACCTCCTGGTTAACTCAAGAAATACAAATGCCTTCTCCTTCTCTTACAGGCCTAATGGTCTTCAAGCCAGCTGCCTCACAAGTGCCTGGAGCAGAGACCTCTGTCCCAGCTGGCTCTCCTATGAGCCACAGGAAGGCAGATTCTGTCCCAGTTCCACTCACCCTTTTGCTATCTTCTCTGACAGCTAAAATCCACAGGGCATGCAAGGATAAAGCAAAGTCTGCAGCTTCCAGGCACTTGGGGACTTGCTCAAATGGGCAGCAGAAGAGGAAAGCTGCTTACAATCCCTGCACACTGATGCAAGAGCCAACGTGTTCCTTGGGACCTCCTCTGTACTGTCTGAAGAACCTAATAAAAAGCAGTGCTAAAATTACCTTACATAGGCAGCTGGAGAGATGAGGATGGGGGAAGTAAAGTCCCAGGGACAGCTTGCTTCACATCTCCTTTCATAAATCTGTCAAGGTACCGGGGCAGTCCCATCACTACAGCATTTCTCTGCCTCCAGAGCATTTTGATAGAAATGTCTTGAATAATAATTAAATGAGCACCAGGGTATCTTTTCTTTGACGTGAGCAATTTGCCTATATTCTCTGGTTCTGCTACCTGTTCTATTAAGAGTATGTCTGTATGAAACAGAGGATATAAATATTAGCCTTCCTCACTGCCAAAGAAATTAATAAATGTCATACCCTCAGATGCAAAGTCTCCTTCAAGTATGAAGTGATCCCAGTAGAAATATTAGAAACGTTTGTCAAGAAGAAGAGTTTAACTCACTGGCTTCAAAGCAGTAAATAAGCATAATTACAAAAGCCATTTTGTAGGGTACAACAATCCATTAAGATTCTTCAGGTGATTTAGGAAGAAAACATCACATCCCAATGAATGCACACTTGCTTTGGCTTATAGAGAACGTATAGCAGAGGTACTCTGCATTAGTTGCTGCCCTGCGCTATAGTGCAACTGGCACAGCTTTTGCTGGGCAGCTCCCAGCTGCAGCCCTGTCACATCTGGAGAGTGGAGCAGCAGCAGCCTTTGGGTGGAAGAAGAAAAGAGACTGTGGTTGTGCAGTTGTGTTTTGGTTCTGTTTCTCTGCCCTGAGCCAGGATTTAAGCAGGGGCTTTAATGAGCGCTCCAGTACAGCAGCGACAATCTTAGCTCACCAAAAAACGGAGATAACTCTACCAGAAGCTTTTAAAGTGCTTATAAAGAAAAGCAAAATGCTGTAAAGACACAAGGCACACTTTAAGAACTGTAATTTCAAATACATCTCTGTAATTCTACAAAGCGGATCCTCAAATCTGGATAAAACTCCATGTGTGACATAAGCAGGATATCCATCATTAGTAGGAGCTAGGAATGGTGTACAATGGACTGCAACTGCTTCCACTGCTAGCTTAAATTGAGGATTTGAAGCTTTTCTGTAAGAATTTGATATTTTAATACACTTTTTTTTTGTCAAAAAAAAAAAAGCAACTCAGCTCCTCTTGAAATTATACACATGACTTGGAGAAATAGAACTATTTGGTAAAGTTTGTGGCAAAGTGAATGACAGCAATTACTGACACCAAAGAGAAGAAAATAAGACAGATGATGGCACTGCAGCTTTCCCACACCCTTCCTGAGGCAACCAAAAAGAAACACAGTTCTTGTTTGCTTAAATCCAACAGCGGATTTTCTCAGGAAGGCAAGGGGTGATTTGCACACACTAACATTCGCAGTGGGGAAAGAGAGATCTGCTGCTGATTTATCACAACTTGAACACTGGCCAGAGAGGCTGTGGACTTGGAAAGCCTTAAGCTGTGAGGTTTAGAAGTGAGCTCCATCCACACGGCTGTGGCAGTGCAGTGCCTGAGCTCCATGTGCCCAGGTACTGTGCATAAAGAGCTAATCCTGCCGCACAGCCCACATACATTAATCTCCAAGCAGGACTGAGATAAGGAGGTCACGGAGCCCAGACTGAATTAAGTTGGAACTCCCAGCCCAGCTACCAACGCTGTCAGTGCGTTAGTTTGACTGAACTAGGATTTATTTCCAAGCTTCCCTTTACCTATATTGCTTGCTTTGTGTGCTGAAATCAGTGTGGTTACCGAGCACCTGAAT